GCATTCCTTAGCTTTGGTTTGCACCTGCGTGGTAAAGGGAAGGGATCGGGTGGCAGGCTTGGCAAGGGAAAACGATATTTACTGGGGCTGCAAGGCAGACAAACTTCTGAATATTTTCTAAAGGAAATTTCACACATAACTTTTTAAACAGAATTTTCATGAAATGACAGAGCTTTCACAGTTCCCTCATGGAAGCTGAGCTCCCTCAAATTTAAGCCTAGTCTAAGTCAATTCTGAGGCATTTTGACCCTTTTAATACACTGTAGCTCTTGGGGGGAAAGGCAGTTCTTGCCAAAACGCAGCAGCTTTCTGTTGCCCAAAGTAAAAACACTATTGGAGTTATGCTTCCTTTCACAGAGGAAAAATGTCTGAATGACAGACAGAAAGATGTATAAAATTGTCATGGAAATGAGGGAGAGCCAGGCCATGAGGAATAGGGCTCTCTCACATGGAAACACTGGAAACCTTTTAAAGCAGACAAATATATTCTCTCTAACAAGAGCCCAGATTAAGAACACAGGACCCAAAATAAGACCCAGAGAAAAAAAGAAAAATAAGAAATTTGCATTCCTGTTTTTTTTTGGGCAGTTTTATCAGCTTTAAAAGCTGCTTCCACAAGATCCAGCACTGAACTTCATAGCTCGGTTTCTCTCTCAGCGCTGAATGCAGAGGTGCCGTCGCTGCCACTACGTCTTTAAACGGGTGAAACTCCCATGGGATCTGCGTTTCACGGGGGGATGCGTGGGACAGGGCACAGAGAGACCCACGGCCTCAGACCCACTGTGGCACGTACGGCGCTGATCCCTTTTCAAATGCTTTATGGTTTCATTCTTTTAAAGATAACCCAGCTGAAAATTGAAAACAACCCCTTTGCCAAGGGATTCAGGGGGAGCGACGACAGCGACCTGCGCGTGGCACGACTGCAAAGGTACGGCCGAGCGGCGCAAGGAGGGGTGGTGGCGAGGAGGTGTGCAGCAGCGTGGCCACCTGCCCGGCTCATCGGTGTCAGGGAGCTGCTGCAGTGTGCACACGTGTATGCATGGGTGCACGGAACCCAGACAGTGTCTATGGGCAGGCAGTGTCCGACACACAGCCAGCGCAGACCCATGCGTGCCCTGTGCACAAACACAGCCTTGCAGCTGGGCTCTAACCCGCATTCTGCTGCACCCCTTTGGAGAAGAACTTAAAAAGTGCCTGCGCCATGGGGGCATCACATTTCCTTGGTCTGAAGGCATGAGGGCTTTGAATGCCATTTATACCCCTGGCCTAGGTTGCCCAGAGAAGCTGTGGCTGCCCCCTCCCTGGCAGTGTTCAAGGCTGGGTTGGAGGGGTTTTGAGCAACCTGGGCTGGTGGAAGGGGTCCCTGCCCATGGCACGGCCTTCAAACATGGTGGTCTATATGGTCCCTCCCAACCCAAACCATTCTATGATTCTATGAAAAGCTCTTCCTGCAATTCAGTGACACACTCTGTGTGTTGTCGTAATGCTTGCCCACACCCAAGAGTGTCATGAGTATGAGCTCATCGTATCTGGCAAAGGATGTTGAAGTCATTGCATGGAGATGCTCTAGGGAAGCCAAACTAATATTTCATCCTTCTGTTAATGCTGATTGCTGTCTAACTGGTCATAATTTTTCTCACCTCCTTTAGCAAAGAATATCCAGTAATTTCCAAAAGCATCATGAGGCAGAGGTTGGTGTCCAGTCATGGCCAGCTTTCAACAAAGCCAGACGTTAACCCACTTCATGGGAATCACCAGACCCTTCAACATTATCAGTATGAGAATGGTGCTCACATGCAATTTGCAGCTTCAGATACTCAAGACCTGCCACTCAACACCTTCACAGCACAGAGAGATTCAGGGCTCTTCTATCATTGCCTAAAAAGAAGAGGTAACTCGAGTTTACATCTAGAACAATATTACAGCAAATAAACCTAAGAGCACGAGCACTGAAAGCCTTTCACTAATTTCAGTTCATTTTGGGTTGGTCTCTTAGGCCTTGACCTTCAAAGATACTGATGTGATCAAAGTGTTTTGGAGGGTCAGGGCCCAAGAGCTGGGTTTTTGGGCAGTTATTTGTGGTTTTGTGCCATAGCAGGCAAATTCAGACCCTGAATCCAATCAAAAAAAGAAAAAAAAGATGAGAATGGATCATTCACATGGCATGAAGCTACACTAGAAAATTGTCTATTGTTAGAGTCAACTGAATTAATAATTGTTTGGAGGAGGCCTCATCTACCCTGAGATGTTCTGACACTGCCGTTAGCATTAATGAATTGTAGATGTTCAGCCCTTTTCCGGGATGAAGCCATTAGCAATTCCCTCGATGTCTGCAGAGCAGTGGGGCTGTGGTAGCTGGGTATAAGCATCCCCTTCTCCTTATCCACTAGTTCTCAAGCTTAAGTGAGCTGTAACTACATTCTCTTCCTTTCAGTCCAGCATCAGATGAGATCATGGCATGTTTTAAGTTAAACGGAAAAATTTTGCGCAGAAAAAAATTGTTCTATTTACACGTGTCATTGGCCACTAATTTATTTAAGCTGTGAGAATCCTCTAATCATGGGCAAATGAAGAATCAAACAGCACCAATAATGAGGACTGCAAGGCAAATATGTAATTTTAGCAGATGTTTAGTCCACAGACAAATTCACTAGTTCATCCAGAGAATATTCCTAAGAACTAACAGCAAGCTGCAGGTAAACACAGCCACGGGCATCGTAATCTGTAGGAGAGGGGCTACAGCTTCTCAGCGTAAAGGTGCAGAGAGGGGCTGATGACTGGGAAAGGGCTCCTTTATCTGGAAATATTTCTGCAGCTTTTGACATGAATATCTGGGAAATGTATGGCCATTTTTGTAATGACAGGAAGGCAGGCTGCGATAAGACCCTTGAAGAGACTTCTTGAATTTGTCAGGAGTAACACTGCCAGAGTGTCAGGGACCCCCGTTATCTGGATGAACGTGAAGTAATCTCTGATGTGAGAATAGTAGCCCAAGCCACTCACTTAACCTGATAAATGCCACCAGGCTGCTTTGAGGCTGAGGGGATTAGCCTGACATTTGCAACACAATGTCTTCTTGATATTGTACATTGTCTTTTCAAACTAAAATGGCTTAAATGGATTAATCTGAAAAAGAGCACCAGTTGTTTAGCGAAATAATCACAGACTGCATGCTCAGCTTCTGAGGGGACTCCATAAAACCACCCCAGGCTCTTAGCAGGCTGCTGTTAAACGCCGTCGCTCTCGGAGCTGCTCCTGAACATGCATTTTTTTTATCTGCAGAAAGCGCTCGGCACCTGGACCTGCCCTGCAAACGCTCCTACCTGGAAGCCTCCTCTTCTGTAGGAGACGATCACTACTTCCGTTCCCCGCCGCCGTACGATCAGCAGATGCTCAGCCCTTCCTACTGCAGCGAGGTGACTCCGAGGGAAGCGTGCATGTACTCTAGTTCTGGGCCCGAAATCGCTGGTGTCTCGACGGTTGACGACTTGCCGCCTCCACCTCCCCCCTTGAGCTGCAATATGTGGACTTCTGTCGCACCTTACACCAGCTACAGTGTTCAGACAATGGAAACTGTCCCTTACCAGCCTTTCCCTGCTCACTTCACTGCCACCACCATGATGCCACGGCTCCCGTCCATCGCAGCTCAAGGCTCGCAGCCCCGGGGCACCAGCCACTTCAGTGTCTACAACCAGCTGTCCCAGTCTCAGGTTCGGGAGCGCGTTCCTTCATCATCTTTCCCGAGGGAAAGGGTGCACCCTTCTGTGTGCGAGAGAAAACCCCCCTCTCCGCACCTAAACGCGGCGAACGAATTCCTGTACTCACAAAGCTTTTCCTTGTCGAGGGAGTCGTCGCTGCAGTATCATTCAGGGATAGGGACTGTGGAGAACTGGACTGACGGATGACTCTGACGGCCAAGCGATGCCACAGCCAACGTTACTGCTCCAGGACAGTGTTCAGTCAGTGTTGATACCTGTGGGTAACTTGCACTTCGGTGAGACAAATGTGCATTTCCAGAGGGATTTGTGTGGGTGAAGAGCTTGTATCTTCAGACACACAGAGAATTACGTCTCCGGTCTCAGTGGGCTGGATTCATCAGTCTCTTACTGACTCCCGAATAGATTCATTCTCGCATCTTCATTACTGATCCAGTAGGAGCCATCTTCATGGCTGACAAGTGAAGTAGCTAGTCATTTTCCTTTGCTTGTAACATTAAACATCCATGAGCAAATTTTGGTTATTTGGGAAAAATACGAGCTTCACTTTTGTGGTACTTGGTTTGTGAAGTCACAGCATCCCAAAACTCAAAGGAAAAAGCGATCTGTTGGGTTGCGTAGTTCCAGGACTGCTGTAGCAGCATTTCTTTAGCTCTTTTTAACTGTAGAAATTCCTTCTTCCTCTGGAAGTGACGGAGCCGTAGGAGCGCAGGGGCCGGCGGGGAGGCTAAGCAGTGGGGTCAGGGCGCTGCGGTGCCGCTCCGGTACCTCCCCAGCGCAGAGCAGGGTTCGTGCCGTGGTGCGGAGAGGAGAAGGTACCGATGCACAAATGTCTCTTCCTCCCCCCACAACGACATCGCTCGTGGCTATGGGAAACTAAGAAGTGAAGTGTTACGCCCGAGGCCAAATAGCAAATTAATTGCAGCGTTAGGAACAGACCAAGTGTCTTCAGACTCCCATCCATTGATTGAGTCACACTTGCTTATTGCAATATATTTATGAAGTTTAAGCTTAAAAGTTGCTAATACTTTCCATGATTTCTGTATTTGCTGGTCCTTGATTTCTTTCGTATTCAGCTGAAACGCGCCTTTTGTGCTATGTTTTTTCTTTTGCAGCTAACTCAGAAAGAATTGTTTTCAGCATAAAGGAGGCATAGAGGAATATTTTCTTAATTGTGGGGTGGGATGGAAAGAATTCCCATTACCTGTCAGGCTTTACAGTGTACAAATATTTGTAGAACAGGTAAAAATCTGTAACCAGTGTATACATTGCTACTATTGTTTACTGTGGAAGTATCTGGAACGGACTCCTTCAGTGCTGGCTTGGCTTACCAGAGTGTCCCTACGAGGTAAGGAGGGATCGCTCAGCCGACAGCCGCGGCACAAAACGGCCTCACGTGGGAAAGCAAGCTGTGCTCTTTCTGGAACGAAACTCCCATTGCCTTCACCTGAAAAGCCCCGGAGCAGGGATGCGTCTCGCTCCGGTCCACAGTGCATCCATCCTGCTGAGCTCCCAGGCGACGCTCTCCCAAGGGATGGCGACACAGAGGCGATGCTGTGAGTCTGGTTCCACTAAAGAGCGCAAGAGTTAAGTTTCATCCCCAAACGGGCAAAGGCAAGAAGCTGAAATACAGATTTGGAAGTGGGGAGGTACTTCTGCGTTCTGAGGAATCCATTCCCACGCAGAGAGGCTGAGGGATGAGGGCGGTTGCTTACAGGGAGACAACCCTGGGGCCGTGAAAGTGGAGTTCATGTTTCCACCAGGACAATCTCGAACACCCATTCAGCAGACTATGTGTGTGACCGGTGTGGTGAATGTTGCAAGGTTTTTTTGGAAAGACATCTATTTAAGATTTTTTTTATTACACACCTTTGATGTAAAAACTAAGAATTGGTTAGATAAAAAACATATATACTACAGATAAATCTTTATTAGAAACCACATTAGATACAGGTGGTATGGAATTTTTAAATGTTTGTTACATAGCATGGACATTTTATTTTACGTATCAGAACATAAAGTCATTTTACTACTATAAGCTGTCTCTGGGTGCATTTCAATAATTAGTATAAAAAAGTCCCGCGGTGAATTACTGGACACCTCTTCTCTCTTCTGTCTCCTACTGTCCAATTGTACCAACGTTACACTTTCCCAAGGTGCACACTTGACCCTTTTTCTACCGTTGAACTCTAACTGCCCACTGCCAGACTAACAGGTTTTGGTTTGTTGGTGATATCTTGTGTTTCTCTTTTTTAATGGACACGTGGATTGATCTGAACACACCGAGCACTACTAGGCTAAGTTAAAAGCAGCCGCTGGCCTGATAACAAGAGCAGCAAAGCGAGGTTCCTGTACGTACGTGCACATCAGTTACAATGACAATAGTGAAGAATTAAAGGTTGGAGGCAGGGGGAGAGGTCTGGGGGTGTCACTACCCGTAATTTGAAATGCTCAGTTCATTTCTCATAGTGACACTGAATCAACACTAAACGAGACAAATGCTGCCACTATAACCTAAAAATTAATGGGGTCAGCAGCCCAGAGTCCAAATGACAAGCTAGACTGGATCTTTTGCCTGTTTTACAAATATGATTAACAGAATAACAATGATGTCATTTTTAATGAATAATCATTGCTTCTATTTTTAACCATTTTTCATATACCTTCTGCTCATCAATGCAATATTTATTGATTTAAGGCAGTTTAAAAAGTCACTCCTATGAGAATTGTTCCAGCAGCTTTCAGTTAATGCAGGGGATGTGGAGGAGACTTGAACACCTAATTAATCCAAGGTCTAACGGGGGAGCACACAGCAGGCACTGCTGTCAGCCTCTGTAAAGGGCACAGCCGAAGCTCAGTCTCAAACCAGCCACTGGAGCTGAGCAAGTGCCCTGCAAAACCCTTTGGCAAATAACAAGCTTTTAGTTGTAAAAATAGGACATGACATTTGCAAGTACAGGACCTGATTGTAAAAGGCTGAGTTAGCACATAAATGTGCAAAATTTGGATATATGCTAATCAGCTCATCTGGGCTCCTTTTTTAGTCAGTGGAGAGAGATCAGACATTTAGATTAAAATGGGATGAATCATTCTCTAGTGATGATCTTTTTCCACTCAGAGAGGAATCTAGCTCGGTCACTTAGACTAGATTTCCCATTTCTAAAGAGCTGAAGTTAAGTTAGTGGGATCCCACTTCTACGTGACATTTATGAGAGCATTTAGACAGCATTAAATAGTGGTCAGCTTACAAATCCCATCTGACCTGAACACAGCTCCATAGCAAGCACATCCCTGAAGCACTTTCTGGTTGTATTCATTTATGGAATGGAAATATGCTGTTCTTTTTTAGTTTGGGGTATTTTCGTTGCAAAATTTCTAACCTGTTTACGTATCCAATCCCAAGAGCGAGCTCATGGGCAAGGCGGGCAGCAGCAGGCTTGGCCAGGTGAGGCACCCGGGTTCCACTTCCCTTCTGCATTTCACATCTTGGCAGCTGCTGCCTGTGCGACTCCCTGCCAAGCTCCTGGCATGCAGCATCGTTCCCGGAGATGCCTGCCTGGCTGTGGGCATTCAAAAACAGAGAGCACAGCAAAAACGAAGCATCCGTGAGGATTGGGACCTGCCTGTTCTAGAGGCAGGAAGTTAATGGTCTATTTGGTTTTCAAATCACAAACACTGAACTGTGGACATCATTAAAAAAAAATCCCAACAACCTGCACAGCATTAAAATAGCTCAAGTATGCTTACTGCGTCCAGACTTGATTTACTACAGTTTAAACAGCTTTTACTTCTCAAGAATGTGGAGAACTTCACGTGTGCAAAGGCTTTTTCAGTGCTAGCTCCAGTGAGATGGCTTGTTGTATCCTAACAGGGTATGGCAATCCAAGTGCAGAAGAACGAGGTCCATTTCCAATCAGATTAAGGCAAAAATTAGCCAGCGAGGAAAACCTGGATACACACAAGATCTGTTTTCCATTCATGTATTCTAATCTGTACTAAAAGGCTAGGGGATTTTTTTATTCTGTTTTTCTTTAAGGTAGATGTCCAAATTTAATATTGGCACAAGCAAGCTTAGTTCCACCGAGTCCAACAGCACTTATGCCAGCGCTGAGTTTGGACTTCACTCTAAATAGAACAAATATTTGTATCAGCTTGCTGAGTATGTGAGTAATACGAATATTTGCCAAAATTTAAACAAGCTAAACTTCAGTTGTGCCAAAAGCCCCACCATTCAATTTGGTATCATTGGCAGCTCACAGGCTCAAGAGAGGCCTAAGTCTGGAAGAGCTGGGGTGTTTTTGGCAAACGCTATTTTTTTTTCTCTCTCTCTCCACATTTTGGAAATTTTGTGCCTCTCTGTATTAATTTATGATGTCATTAAATAATTCTTTTTGCAGCTTGTATAGAAAGAATGTTTCTTTTGAAGATGAGAACTCCCCTGAGGATGGTTATAGTGAAAAATTCCAACAGGAGGAAAAAACCTCCTCTCTCCTTGGCCACTCATGTTTCTGCAGTAGTGTTTGAACAGCAAAAAAATTTACAGTATTTTAATTTAAAGGCCTGCTCCAAGAAGGTGCCATGCACTCGACTGTGAAAAGAGGCCGCCTAAATTCAATGTGATTTGAAGGTTTTTATTGCTGTGATAGTAGCCTGGAAGAGAAATCATGATTTGCTGGTGGAGAGAATAAGATTTTGAACTGGTTTCCTTTCCACAAAGTAGAGGATCAATATTAAAAATGAAAGAGAAGAAAATATTGGGAACAGTACAACAAAAGCAAACAGCCTTGTCCAACATGAACTGTATTTTAATGTGAGAACACAGTCAGGAGAGAAACCATCCCTTGGGCTCTGTCTGTAAAACATTCACTGTAGGCATTGGCGTTTAGAGGGCAGCTTCGTGCTAGGATTCACAGCCCCTCCTTGCACCAGCGCAGTGCAGGATAGACCGGCCTGTGCTGTGTTTAAACCAAAGTGAAGTTTAAAATTAAACTTGGCTGCTCACCCCTGTTGAGAAACTCCCTGGGTAACGGCAAGGGAAGGTAACGCCCTCGGAGATTCGTGCCATGGCGTGGGGCGGCTACGGCCGCCAAGCAAGCTGGCATACCTGCCTGCTGTCAGAAAGACCATTACTCCAGTCACAACCAGCAAACGTACCTGGCTGACTATTCTTGAGACTGACTTTTCAAATC